ACTGCCTAGGGTTGTGTCCTTGGCATGCTCCTTTTCTGTTCTACTCTCTTTTTTGCCTACAGCTTGAAAAACCTTCTGCATATTGATGACCCTCAATTTTTTTATTTCCAGCCAATATCTCTCTTCTGCCCCAGACCCATATTCCAGCACATTCTGGATACCTCTACCTGGTTGTTTCCTAGACATAGTATTCTTAAAAGTGTATGAAACAGAATCTATTCTTGGTTTACTGAAATGTGTCCATCGGCCTGTATTTTTCATCTCACAGCAGCACCCATTTTCCCAAAATGAAGTCTTTGAAGTCATTCATATTGTTACCTTTTCCTCATTCTATATTTGCCAAATCCTTTTGACTTTACTATTAAACAAACTCTCAGTTCCACCCTCTTCTCTCAATCTCCACTGCCATACATCTACTTCAGGTCCTTATCATCCTTCATCTAAACTACCACAACTCCTTTAAATTCATTTCTTTGCCATCATTTCTTCTCTCTTTCTAGTCCTTCCCCTATTTGTCTAAAAATCAGCCCTAAGAACAAATCTGAGGGCGGCCCGTGGCTCACTCAGTGGAGTGCGGTGCTGATAACACCAAGGCCAAGGGTTCGGATCCTATATAGGGATGGCCGGTTTGCTCACTGGCTGAGCGTGGTGCTGACAACACCAAGCCAAGGGTTGAGATCCCCTTACTGGTCATCTTTAAAAAAAAAAAAAAAAAAAAAAGAACAAATCTGATCTGTATAAGAATGTCCGACAATGTCCATTGACTCTTAAATACCTAAAGGATAAAGATCAAACTCTTTCCCATAATTGCAGCCTTGTTTTTCATGATGTTTCCCCTGTTTCCCTGTGAAAGTTAATTCTAGATGTCAACTTGGTAGATGAAGGAATGCTGAGAAACCTGGTAAAGCTATCTTTTTAGGTGTATCTGTGAGGGTGTTTCCAGCAGACATTAGTATGAGAATCTGGGTGGCCTGGGTGGGAAAGACCCACCCTCAGTGTGGGTGGGAACCATCCAATCCGCTGGGGGTCCGGAGAGACAGAGGAAAGAGGTGAAGTTTTCTCTCAGTCTGCTGGAGCTGGGATACACTCTTCTATCCTGTGAGTGGACATCAGAGCTCGAGACTCTTCAGGTTTTGGGTTCCAGAACTTACAGCAAGAACACCATCAGCTTTCCTGGTTTTGAAGGCTTTGGACTTGGACTGAGCCATGCTACCAGCATCCAGTTTATAGATGGCCTATCATGGGACTTTTCTTCATAGTCACGTGAGCTAATTCTCCTAATAAATCCCTTTCATAAAATTATAACATATCCTATTGATTCTATCTCTCTGGAGAATCCTGACTAATACATTCCCCTTCTTCCCTTTTTTCTTCCCCCACATACCCTCTACTCCAGATTTATTCACCATTCTATATGTCATACACTTCCAGGTTTTTGTTTGTTTGTTTTTGCACAAGCTGTTCCTTCTGTTTATGGTGACCTTAATTAACTCCTTTCTTTAGAAGTAAATTCTTATCCTTTCTAGAAGATCCAGCTCAAACATCACCATCTCTGTAATGCTCTTTTCATTTCCACAAAGCAGAAGTTCCCTCCTCTGGGTTTATATCTCTATTAAAATCCTGTTCAAGTTGTATTATGATGTCTGTTTCCATTACTTCATCTGCATACACGCAGTATATAGGCATAGAACAGGTATATAAATGTTTGGTGAGTGAATAAACCAATTTCTAATAAAATCAGGCTTGGTTTCCTATTTATATATTTAAGGAAAGATGGAAGGATTATATTACAAAATATTTTAGTTATCTCTAAATGAAACAAATAATTAAAAAATACTATCTTGGGAATCAGGCATATTATGATTAAGACTATAGATTGGTACAACCTCTAAAGAGGGAAATCTGTCAATATCTACCAAAATTTAAAAATGCACATATTCTTTGACTGGGCAATCCTACATCTAAGAATGCATTCTATACTTACACATTTAGGCAAAAGCCACCTACAAGGATATTCACTGCAGAACTGGTTGTAACAGCAAAACATTTGTGATAAATGTTTCTCAAAAGGGAATGATTAACAATGACATGTACAGACAATGGGATACTATGTAACTATTAGAATAAGTTGGGTCTATATGTATTTGTCACAATCTACAAGATAATTTGTAAAGTGAATAAAGAAAGATACAGAAGAATGCCTGATATGCTAATATGAGTGTTTATTAAAAAGGGAAGATACTGATAATATCGGTAATTGGCCACAATAATCAACCACATTGTATATTGACAAAATAAAATAAAATTTGGAAGAAAAAATAAAAATAAAAAGGGAAGATACTCGATATATGCTTGTATATGCATTACAATGCCTCTGAAAGAATGCGTAAAACTGATTACAGTGGTTGCCTTTGGAGAGAAGAACTGGGAGCTGGAGTCAGCACAGGGAGACTTACTTTCCATTGAATATCCTATTGTATCTTCTAAAGTTTGCATCATGTACACTTATTAGATGGTTAAATAAATAAATAAATGTAATGAAACTTTACTAATAAAATGCCAATGGATTGCATAAAACTTTATAATTAAGAATTAGAGGGCCGGCCCGGTGGCGCACTTAGACAATAATTTTCAATCTTTTCTTGTTCATAGATTTTTTTGTTTGTTTGTTTTGGCTGGGGAAAAGTCTACAGAACTTGTCGTTATTCAAACAATTATTCAGTAATCATCAAGTACTAGGGATGCAAACATTTGAAGGCATGTGAGACTCAAATAGCTCACAATCTAGTGGGAAGAATGCACATGTATTCAAATAATCTCAATATAAAGAGTTACTTTTCATTCAAACTTCTTTAATAGCAGCTGAATTTTGAACCCAACACTACTTTGCAGAGACTGTTTTCTGTGTTGCAGCAGCAAAAATGAAAGCCCAACAAGGAAAGGGGAGGGAAGTGTGACCATGACTTAATGTAGGTAGCAGGTAAAAAGTAAGACCTGAGAGCAATGGTAGGCTAGCTTCTGGCCAAGTATGGTGATGAAGAAAGAGCTGTAACTTAACAATAGCACTAGAACTATCCAACATGATTTTGACATAAATAACTGACAGCATTACGTAATAAAGCAAGAAAAAAAGAGAACAGAGTGCTTAGGCGAATATAAAAAAAAAAAAAAAAAAAAAAAAAAAAAAAAAAAAAGAATTAGAAAAAATAGAATTAGAATACCTTTGACAATAATTTTCCATCTTTTCTTGTTCATAGATTTTTGTTTGTTTGTTTTGGCTGGGGAAAAGTCTACAGAACTTGTCGTTATTCAAACAATTATTCAGTAATCATCAAGTACTAGGGATGCAAACATTTGAAGGCATGTGAGACTCAAATAGCTCACAATCTAGTGGGAAGAATGCACATGTATTCAAATAATCTCAATATAAAGAGTTACTTTTCATTCAAACTTCTTTAATAGCAGCTGAATTTTGAACCCAACACTACTTTGCAGAGACTGTTTTCTGTGTTGCAGCAGCAAAAATGAAAGCCCAACAAGGAAAGGGGAGGGAAGTGTGACCATGACTTAATGTAGGTAGCAGGTAAAAAGTAAGACCTGAGAGCAATGGTAGGCTAGCTTCTGGCCAAGTATGGTGATGAAGAAAGAGCTGTAACTTAACAATAGCACTAGAACTATCCAACATGATTTTGACATAAATAACTGACAGCATTACGTAATAAAGCAAGAAAAAAAGAGAACAGAGTGCTTAGGCGAATATTTTATATAGAAATTTCTGATAAATCAAAAACATTTTCATGCTCTGCCTTTCCTTTTAAAAAATAATAAGCTCTTATTTTAGCAACTATAAAAGATATGACATTTTTGGAAGCTGAAAATGAGGAGAAATCAGTGGCTTTTGCAATCATGTTAGAAGTTGAAGTGATGAAGCATTCATGTATTTATGTGTTAATTTCTTCATGTACATTGTGGTGGAATATTATTCCTACTATAGAGTACAGGATAAATAAGATAATGGCATTTGTCAACTCCGTAATATCTTTTCATTTGTAGATCTCAAAGCCTTTGCAAACATTCATTAATTCCCAGTATCCTAGCCAAATGAACTAGAGAAGTAAACTGGGGTACAGAGAAGGAGAATAGCTCAAGGTCAACTGACAAATCCATAACACACTTGGAAAAGGAATACATTCTGGTTCTTGCTGCTAGTTCTGAATTGTACGTCATACCCCCATCATAAAATGTTTCTTCCCTTAAAAGGGTCTGCAAGAGTTGATTATCTTTGATGTTAAATAACAAATGATTAATTCAATAAACATGAAAGAAGTTTAAAAAATGAAGAAACAGAACAGGGCTGATTTTATTTCAGTAGATTCTAGTCTCCTTTGTAAGAACAGATTGAGAAAAACATTACTAAATTCTAGGGTTCAGAGGGCCTATAAATTTTCTGTATTTTCCCCACACACTGTTCTATTTTTTTGTGGACTAAGTTATTATGCCTGATACCTTTTTTAGTCCTTTAACAATCTTCCCTGCAATGCAGCTATTTTAATTAACAGAACAAATGTATTAGAAAATATCAATGAAATAACCAAAACCATAATTAGGCATGAAGTAGTACAACGTATTATAAATTATTATTATTCTTATATGGCAACAGAACCCTCTACATTCTATAGGGAATTGAAGATTACAATAAACACACATACTATCATAATATACTTAATGAATATTTATCACAAAAAATTACCATGCAAAATGAAAATTTAAGTGTTAAGAACTACATAAAATCCACAGCACTCTTTAGAAATTTAACTTCCATATTTTAAGAAGCTACTAATTTCTGATATTACTTTTGATTTATTTTAGGACAAAAATCATTAGTTCCAAGCAGAATTTAGTAAGATTTGAAAAACTTTTTAAAAAGTTTTAAATGAAACCTTGGATTATTACGTGAATTTCAATCCGTGAAACCAAAGGTTTTCTTCCTAAATGCCTACCTGCGCATTTGCTTTCCTTCCATGCACCATGAAAAGCACCCTTCACCACACTCTAAAGCCGAACCTAAGACAAGAGAAATGCAGTAACTTAGTAAAAGCTATTTCTGATCTTTCCAGCAACAATCTTTATATAATCATTTCACTCATTTCGCCAGTAGTCAATAATTTGATATACTATATACCACAGGCCTTTTGAAGATGCCCAATCATAATTAAATCAAGTGCCCTTAAGATGACTATCCTTACTCCTCAAACATCATTTCACTCATTTCGCCAGTAGTCAATAATTTGATATACTATATACCACAGGCCTTTTGCAGATGCCCAATCATAATTAAATCAAGTGCCCTTAAGATGACTATCCTTACTCCTCAAATTAAAACGATTATATATGAAGTGCGCTAAACAGTCCCGATTGCTAGGTCAGTATTGTGTCTTCAAAAAATGTCTGGAGACATTTAACTTTGACCTCGCCATCAAGTATATCTACAGAGCCATCACCAGATCCCCAGCAGTACTAACCTGATAGATCGGATAAGGGAACACGCTGGCTTAACAACGGATTTGAAGGCTGTTAACTTGTCTCGAAGTGACAGGAGGAGGCGGCGGCGGCATTTGCCTTTAAAAACAAACAACTCCGCTTCCGACAGCCCAGGCAGCTTTAACAGGGCAGGGAAAGTATGGCTCCAGACTAAAACTCTTTACAAGCCCGTCCCTAAGTCCAAAACAATGTTCACCACGCACTTGGCAGATCTCGCCAGGTCCCGAGGGTTTAATGGGACGCACAGTACTCACTTCCTTCCCTAGAAATCCAGTCTCTGGGGAAGCTGTCCAGGGTGTAGAACCCCAACGCCCCCGGGCAGGTCAGCCCAGCGCCTCCCCTGGCTGCGGTATAAGGTTGTCAGCCAGTGTGGCGTCCCGCGAGGCCCAGCCCTGGCGCCCCAACATCATCTTCTCTGTGCCGACTGACAGGGGACCGACGGAGCACGGCCCCGACTCCATCGGGCAGCTCAGCAACTTGGGACCACAGATTTGCAAAGCGAGCCCTGGTGAGTTGTCCGTTGTCCCCTGCTCCACGGCATCCCACTTACCGGCTCTCACACTTCCTTCTCTGCTGCAACCTCCTCTGCCCTCCTCTCCACTCTGCCAGCTCCTCCGCTGCCGCTAGCGTAGGCAGGAGGCCGCTCCTCTAGCCAGTTCCTTTCCCCCCACTCACTCCTGTCCAGAAGCAGGAAGTGGTCCTACTCCTAAATCGTTCCCGCTGGAACCAATATATTCCGCCAAGAGGTTCCGGTATGACTCCGGAAGTAACCCTTCCCTTTGCTGGTGATTGGGATAACCCCAAAGACTACAAGTTTTCATAGCCAGTTGCTTGAATGCCGAGGGTATCCGCTTTGAGAGTTCACCGGTGAACCGTCATTATTCGAATACTGAAGCCTCCTCCTTTCTTCTTTGTTTTCCAGTAGAGGCAATAGAAAGATAGAAGTAGTGACAGAAAGCTAGGAATTTTTATTTATTTGTAGTTGGTTGGTCTCCTTTTGGCACAATGTTGTTTCAAATTGTGGATTGAATGACTGACGCATGCACACACGGGGTCGACATATATTAAGCCTCGACTTTGTGCAAGGTGTTGACGATACACAGATAAATCAGAAATAGACCTGACTCCCCATATTTCTCACAATCTAGCTTTCAAGGCACCAGGGTTTTATCCAGGACTCTAAAACTGTGCCAACTTGCCCTTTCTACTTAGTATTCACCACCAGACACTTCACCAAACACTTCTTCTGTGGACTTACTTTAGTATTGTGGGAAAAATATTTTTCAATTTGTCTTTTGCTTCAGATTTTCCCAAGGCACACAGCCACCTGATTTTTACTAACGAGTGTATTTAGGAAAGAAACAAGTGATACAATAAGGTGAGGCGGGGGTTACAATTTCAGGAATATAAGTGAAAGACTGTTACTGAGTTCCTGATAACTATTCTAGGCTAAGCATTAACTAAACCAGAGTTTCTTTAGCTGTTCTTTATGTGCAATATACACAGGTTTGTCCAGTAGTTGTAAAAGGGAAAGGAACTTCTTAATTAGCTTGAAATGGGAAGTACATGGCCTTTAGATCCAGAAACCCACAGGTTCAAATCCTGTTCTTGTGACTGGCTAAACTTGTGATCTTGGTCAAAATTATACTACATGTGTATATGTGACATACACACATGTAGCGAAATTATTTTGTTTCCATGTTTTAAAACTTTACATAAATGGTATCAAAATGTATGCATTCTTTTGCAAATTGCTTTTTCCACTCAACATTCTGTTTTCAAGATTCGTCCATGTTGATCAATGAAGGTCTAATTCAATGATTCTTTTTTTTTTTTTTTTAAAGATGACCGGTAAGAGGATCTTAACCCTTGACTTGGTGTTGTCAGCACCATGCTCAGCCAGTGAGCGAACCGGCCATCCCTATATGGGATCCGAACCCGTGGCCTTGGTGTTATCAGCACCGCACTCTACCGAGTGAGCCACAGGCTGGCCCTAATTCAATGATTCTTAAAATGTGGTCCTGGACCTGCAGAGTTAACATCACTTGGTAATGCAAATCCTTGGGCCCCACCCAAGATCTACTGAATCAGAAACTCTGGAGCTGGGGCCCAGTAATCGGTGTTTTAACAATTTCTCCATGTGATTATAATGCACATTAAAGTTTGAGAACCACCACACTAATTTATTGCTTGCCACTGCTATATAGTATTCCATTTTATGAATATACCACAAATTTTTGTTTATTTATTTATTATTTTTTAATTTTTTAATTTTTATAGTATCAAAATTGATTATACAAATTTTGGGGGTTCAACACTGAGATATGTTGATCAAATCAATATTACTAGCATATATATTGTTACGAACTGTAATTATTATTTATGCCCCTTGTCCAATCCCTTGCCATCCCCCTTTCCCTCCCCTCCCCTCCTCTAATCACCCTAGATTTCTTCTCACCCTTTGAAAGAATAATGGTTACTCTGATTATTTGCTGCCCAAAAATCTGTCCAATGCTGAGAGGTGTGATCAGGTCCCCCAATACTATCATACAGCAGATGCCTCTTCCATCACTCTGAAATGAGCTCTGTGGAGAGAGAGATCCTCTTCCTTTCTTTATCTCTGCTGGTGACTCTCCTTGTGTTAAGGCACTTCAGTGGCTGGCAGACGATCTGTGTGGTAGTTGTGGCGTCTAGCTGCCTTCACAGCAGCCATGGTTATTGTGGTGGCTGTGGTGGGCCACCCACATGGAGAAGATGTTTTTGGCATGCTCCTTGGCACTGGTGGTGTGCCTGGTTGTGGGAGGGCCAGTCCCCAGCTCCATACCCCGGGTCGCTGGGCGGGCCCTGAGGTGCTGGCACAGTGAGCCTGGTTGTGGGAGGGGGGTCCGGTCCCCTCTCCATGCCCCGGGTCCTCAGGTGGGCCCCAAGGCACTGGCAAGGTGTGCCTGGTTGTGGGAGGTCCAGTCCCCAGCTCCATACCCTGGCTCGCTGGGCGGGCCCTGAGGTGCTGGCACAGTGAGCCTGGTTGTGGGAGGGGGGATCTGGTCCCATTCTCCATGCACCGGGTCCCCGAGTGAGCCCTGAGGTGCTGGCACGGGGTGCCTGGTTGTGGGAGGGAGGTCCAGTCCCCTTCTCCATACCCCGGGTACCTGAGTGGTACCAAAGATTTTAAAAAATTTATTATCCTACAGATGGATATTTTGACTGTTTCCAGTTTTCTCCATTGCAAACAATGCTACAATGTGAATTCTTACATATGCCTCCTTGTGTACAGCTGTAAGAATTTCTCTAGGGTATGCAACTAGGAGTAAAATTGCTGGGTTGTATGCTATGCACAGCTTCAACTTTACTGGCATTAGTCAAATTGCTCTCTAAAGTTGTTTTTCTGTTTTAATAATAATAATATTACTAGCAAATACTTATATAGCATGTTATATTAACTTATCAATACTCACACCAGCCTTCCTGAGGTAGGACCTATTATCATCATTCCAATTTTACAGATGGCACCAAGGCTTTGCATAACTTACCCAGTCAGACAGCTAGTAAGAAGCAGAGCCACGACTTGAAACCATGTGCAATGGCTCTAGGTGCTGTGCTTCTAGCCACAATGTCACAGGTCCCTTTCTCTATTTCCAAACCTGAGCCAATCTGCAAACCCAGAACCTATTGACTAAAGGAGAGTCCTGCTCCTAGGAGAAAGGATCCTGCAACACCATGACAGTTGTGTAGAGAAATGATTTCCCCAGTCCTTTCCCAAAGGGACTTACAATAATTTACTCTGCTACAATACACTGAGGAAATGGAAATATTGAAACTTTCCAGGATTGTGGATTTAGGGCTCAAATTGGCATTGACCCAAAGCAACGTCAGAGGTCCCCATTTGAGTGGGGGAATATAGATGTCAATAAATAGAATCTGGCCAAGATCTGGCTTGCAGAAGGTTTTCTGGGTCTGCTTGGCTACTTAGTAGTCATTTCCCCAGTCCCAGACTGTATAATTGGAATAGACATACACAGTATTTTATGTAAGCCTCATATCAGTTCTTTGGCTTCTGGGATAAGAGTGATCATAGTTGGGAAGGCCAAATAGAGGCCCTACCTATGGCCAGGTTGACTTTATTGAACCCTTTTTATCCTGGAAGTGGGCAATATTCCTCCTCCTTCTCCTCTTCTGCTTCCTCTTCCTCTTCCTACCTCCTCCTCCTTCTCCTCTTCTGCTTCCTCTTCCTCTTCCTACCTCCTCCTCCTCCTCCTCCTTCTCCTTCCCTTTTTTCTTTCTTGGCTTCAATGTTCCCATATTCATCTGGATC